ACACACACACACACACACGTAAATACAACAAAATACAGTATGTATTTATTGTGTTCAGTTCAGTTTCATTTAAGTTTACTTTTTATACTGTATCATATTATTAACAACAAAAGTCATCTCATGAGACATGGACAAAATCATTCACATAAAATGATAATTAGTAACAGTTTTATGTCTAAAATATAGCAGACTGAGTCAATTTAAATCAGAAATTCTAAAAGCAATGGCTAAAAGTGAGACAGAGAAAAAGTGTGTGAAAAAAGTAACTCTTTTCATGTCACATTTGACTTATAAAATTTTAGAAGAAAAATGAAAATAAATCCTGAAATATTTAATCTCCCCCATTTGGTGCGGATTGCTGCAGCATCTGCAGTGATGCGGGCGTTGTACCGGTCTGTCGTGATGAAGCAAGAGCTGAGCCAGAAGTGAAGATCTCTGTTTACCAGTCAGTCTACGTTCCTACTCTCGTCTAAGGTCACGAGCTTTGGGTAGTGACTGAAAGAACAAGATCACAGACACAAGCAGTTGAAATGAGTTTCCTTTGCAGGGTGTCTGGGCTCTCCCTTAGAGATGGGCTGAGAAGCTCAGTCATCCAGGAGGGACTCAGAGTAGAGCCGCTGCTCCTCCACGTCGAGAGGAGCCAGTTGAGGTGGTTCATCTGGTTAGGATGCCTCCTGGACGCCTCCCTGGTGAGGTGTTCCTGCATGTCCCACTGGGAGGAGACCCAGAGGAAGACCCAGGACACGGTGGAGGGACTATGTTTCTCAGCTAGCCTGGGAACACCTAGGAGCTGGTCCAAGTGGCTGGAGAGCAGGAAGTCTGGGTCTCTCGGCTTAGGCTGCTGCCCCCGAGACCTGACCCCGGATAAGAGGAAGAAAATAAATCCAAATAAAACCATGTAAGCTAACAATTCTGCTAAAAAAAGAGTTAACACTTAAAATTTGGGAATGAATTTTGGTACCAAGTAATTATTCTAAATTGTATTAACCTGATTTAAACAGTTATTTTAATTTAACGATGATTAAACAGCATAATAGTCTAAAAGCAGAATGAACTTTTTCATGATACAAAGCAAGAATTTGATTAAGTGGATCTGCAATGGAAGAAATTTCGAACAGGAATTTTGAGAAAGAACTATGTTTATAATTATACATAAAGAATTTAGACAACTTAGACCAGGGATTCTTAACCTTTTCAACCTTGAGGCCCAAATTGTTGAATTTAAAGTGACACGAGGCCCATTCAGACATAAACAATGAACTGATCAAAGTGATAATTGAGCTAAACTTTGGTTTCATTTGCATTATAACTAAATGAAATGCTCTTACATTTTAACAAGCAACAACCTTGTTAAATAAATCAAGAGACATGATGACAAACATTTACTGTACATATCTGCCAACATTTGCTGGCAATGAAGGGACACTTAAACAATTGCCAGAGGCAAAGCAATCCTAGGAGGGTCCAGGTGCATACCCCCCAGAAACTTTGAAAAATCTACTCAAAACTAAGACTTTTCCCGCCATTTGAATTGCAGGAGTTTGTCTGTAACAAAATAGAGCCTGAGAAATCTAATGACAGAAAAATTACAAAATAGAAAATACAACTTAGTCCAGTCTTTAACTATTCCCTCTGTTCTCTTTATTATGAGCTGTGACACTTCCACTTGTGTACTAAAAAAAAACCCCACACACCTAAAATCTAATTTTCTTATTAATTAGTTTTGTCACCAGAAGCTGTTCTTCATATTTGTGACAAATAAACCATTTTGTAGTCAAAAATTGTTACAAATGTGCATGCGTGCAACAGCCGTGCTCACAGTTTTGGTGATATAAACACTGGAGCCCATATGTAACATGAAGGAGGGGAGAAAAAGAAGGGTGACGTTGTTTATGCACTCTGCTGTTTTACCTGTTGGGAGCACCAGACCAGATTTACTGATTGATCATTTATTCACCCTTTAGAAATCAGAGTCGTTTACACCAAATAGATCATCAGGTTGCAGGGAACTCTTCTCATAAACAATGAGAACTCAATGAAGCAGAAACCGACTTTGTTTTTTAAAAATCTATTATAAAAAGAACAATCAAATAAAAATGAATAACGTAAAAAATAATAAAGGTTTAGAAAATTGTTTAAAGGTAAACATTAATAAAGTAGTAAAGTTAAACATAAAAAAATCAACATTTAATTAAAGGTTGATGTTTAACCTTGAAACAAGATTTTTACCCAAAGGAAATATTTTCATCTTCAGTTAGTCTAATTGAAAAATTCCTCAGTTTGAGAACCTATAAAGGTTTTGTCAATTTGAAGTGTATTGTTGTTAAGATCTGGTTAGATTAAAGTTAGTAATTTTATTACTAACCTAAAGTCTGTGGTTTAATTTTACTGCAGATAAGAAGAGATAAAGAGCGCCAGGCTTAACAACCAGAACTGCTTTGTAAAATGTGATACCTCAGGAGGTACAGTCTGAGGGTCTCACCTGAAGACATCCAAGTTGTCTCAGTCAGAGAGCAGCTTAGTGGGATCCGTTTGACTAGAATCCACACAGGTTCACAGTTTTCTACACTACATAATATGTTGTTATCACAAGAAAACCATGGACAATAATTGTATGCAGAAAACAGCTGCTCTCGGCTTCCGTACAATAGTTTTCTGCAGTGTAAAATGAAATAATCTGATCAGTGGCAGAACCTGAGAGTCAACTGAAAACCTGGTTAGGGTCAACAGGAGGGTTCAGGTGATGGTTATCTGCAGTTATCAGCTGACTCAGCAGGTAACATATGAACTTATCATAGAGTTAGAGTTAAAAAGTAGATCTTGAATTTTTAAGTTTGTTTTTTTTCTCTTTTTACTTACACCAACTCTCAGCACTTATCTCATTCTTTTCACAGACAGGAAAGTTTATTTGTCCGAACCTGTTTTATTTTTAGGTTTTTGTTTTGTGTCTTTTGTTATTTATGATTAGGTTTGATTGATGTTTTGTGATTCTTCGGTTTAGTTAAACTACTTGTGTTTCCAGGGACAGCTAGACTTTTTTGCAAGGGGTTGGTCAAGGTGTTTGTTATCTAGGGGGTCCATATAAACCAGGGATGTCCAAAGTGTGGCCATGGGACCCATTTGTGGCCCCTGAACTGATTTTGTGTGGCCCCTGATTTCAGTTCAAGAATTATATTAATTTGTTTACAGATTTGTCCCCCCAGCACAACTGTTTGATGGAGACTTTCTGTTTATTATTACGGCAAATTTATCACAAAGTAAAATCTTACAATAAAAAATATTGTCTTTAAATAACCAGGCCCTTATTTTTCCACATCTATTTGGTGACTTCTACTCAAAAGCTGATTTTGCTGCACTCCTTTTAATTAGTTTATTAAATTTGTCTGAATATAGCAAGCATTTTCAATGAAACAGTGACCTAAATCCTGATTTTATTTATCAAAATTGACTAAATTGGGTTATTTTTTTTCCACATTTGAAACCTAGAAAATTATAAAATTTCTTTCAATAAGGGAATCCTGCAAAACACTTTTAAAGTTTTGGATCTAGATTAATTTACTTATCCATTTTCAGCAATAAATCTGACTATGTTATTTGTTTAATTAAAGTATTCAATGCTCAGTTTATTGTTGAGCAGGTAAAGGAAAAATAGTTGTGGCCCTCAAGTCCTTCTGACTTTATGATTTTGGTCCATGTGACAAAATGTTTGGACACCCCTGGTATAAATAAACTACCCTGATGGAAAATTTAAGATGGCCACCATAGATAAATTTAAATGGATATATTTGATCCATTTTAACTGAGCTGAAATTTGTTGTGGTGTAGCCAAGACTGATTACTAGTCCCAATTTAAACTAATCACTAATGTCAATTTTGCAAAGGAATATAATCCAGCCAATATAAACACAGCTGAAACTTTATAAAATAGCCAAGAATAAATCTGAATACAAAATCTAAGATGGCAACCAAAGCTAAGCTCAAATAGTTGGATCTCAGCCATTTTTTAGAAATACTGAGCTGAAATTTAGTAAGGTGGGAGCCAAGAGCAATCCCCCTGACATTTTGAAATCTCAATTTTTTGGAGATGTTAAAAGGGAGAACAGACTGAATTTATGGAATGGGATAATGAGTGAGTGGAGACACATGGGAACAGATGAGAGTGGTTGTGGCAGACTCAATGAAAACTGAGGGGCGGAGCCAGAGGGCCACCCCGTTATCTGATTGGCTACCCCAGGTGCTGTCTCAAATGATTGACAGGTGGAGGTGCGGCTCACATTTGGCAATACAAACTGATCAATTAGCGCTAAAACAATGTAAATATGTTCTGCAGCTGTATTATTTAGTGTAGACGGAACCTATCAGTGTGTGAAGAAAAACAACTGAATTAATATAAAAGCAACAATTCCACCACACCAAATTTCAGTTTAATGATGAGGTCATACTGTGACAGCCAATCAGCATCCAGCAGGACTTTGTTCCACCAATCACAGCTCAGCTTTTGGATTTTAAAATAAAATTCTGCGCTCTGACAACTAAAAGCTT